AAAGATCAGTTCAGTTGACGAAGAATCTCGAAAAGTGGTAAAAAGCACGACGTTTCTATCTTATATCTTGAGAAAAACACGTTTTCAGTTTTATCACGATTTTTCACAAATTGATTAAGTCCTCAGTAGTGGATTAAAACCCAACTTTAATTAAACTTGGGCCGTCCCCTTGTAATTGTTCCTTAATCAAAAAATAATCTATTAAAATTGCATGCCGCCCCAATTTTTATCGTCACTAGAATTTTAGATTAAAAAAAACTAACGAAAATTAGATTAAAACTGATTTGCGTAAAAATAATTGGATTATTTCGACCACAATCCATTAGAAATCTTAATCCAACTAATTCACTTTCGATTGATCGTTGATTGTGGATGATTTCTTATATAGAATTATGTTTGTTTCAAATCGTCCACTTTAGTTTATGAGTCGTATTTGAGATATGGAAAAGCGGAAAAGCAGCACTGTCCGTTTACGTACATTCGGATAGAACACATTCGTGTCAACGAATCTCATCAACCGTGTTGATGAGTGAAGAAAGCAAGTTATATGATTAATGACACACAAGAAGAAGAAAAAACCGAAAAGAATTATTAGCAAGAAAAATAACCCTGATGCTTCACCCATTATTGCTGACATCATTCGAAAACTAAACACTATTTGAAATGGCCTGCGACTTTACCATAGAATTATGTTTGTATGCCAAATCTGAGGGCTTGGTTCTATTGCATTCAAAATCTGATAACTTCTCATTTTAATCCTGTCAAAAATCATCAGACTGCGTTGAAAACCTCATCGGATCCGAGAGTAGGATTTCTCGTTTCGAGTATTGCTCTGTGGACAAATTTTCTCGTAAAAAAAATAAGAAATGGATGAAAAAATAAAAAAGGAGTCTTACAAATGGTGGTCGCATCGTCAATGTACCACCAAATGTTTTGTTTTTTCCAAACAATCAAAAATGATTAGGGTAGGAATGGACTGCTTCTGACTTTCATATTTTTTTTCACTTCAATAGAATTGTACTGTTTTGGTGAACTTTGATTGTTTGAGAGAGTGACTGAAATATTTACTTGACGTTATGATGCTCGCCGTGCTGTTTATTACAGTAGTACCGATGGTTGTCGTGCTTGTCGCTATGCATAAAAGAGAAAACAATTATATAAACAAAGCAGATATGTTTTCCACTGTCATACAATGAAATATAGAACTTAGTGAATTGAAATTTTCAATGAGTTCTCTACACTTTTTGAAAGAACGATGGCTAGGGTGAGGAGTGAGAATGGGTGCGTCTGGAAAGATATCCACTCAGGAATTAGTAGAGAATGAAAGACATCAAATGATGCTAGATTTTATGTAAACAATAGTCCGTCTCGAAAAATTTTGTTTCCTGTGCGCTAAAATGATGCTCCGTTTTAGTACAAAAGCAAATAATTATATAGAAAACTGTTCTGTGGATACAGGTCGTGTTTTACTTAGGGGTACCCAAAGGTAGTGGCGGAAGTACCTTATTTTCGTATAGAAAGCTTGAGGAAATTTTCTTTTTTTTATGGGATGATAGAGAAAACGAAGCTTTATTTGTCTGTGCTATTTCATTCCTACTCTACTAGTACCATAATAATAAAATCTCGACAAGAACTAGTTTTGTGTAAAATATAACTATAATATTGGATCATATTTTCATTCATGTGCATTTTTGTTTTTGGTTGTTTCTTTGTTCTTTCTTTGTTTCTTTTCGCGTCTCTTCTAATAGCTAATCCTTCATAAATATGGTACACATAGTTTATCACAAGCAATAGTAGAACAAAAAAAATATCAAACAAGCTCAACAACTTTTTATTTCATCAATACACGATTAAATTTCACACATTCAAGAAACAAACTGGACGGGTGTCTTAATATATATTTATATATATCTATGTATGAAATACTAGGCATTAAAAGAGACGAGAAAAGAAGTAAGAAAGGAAAGGAAAGATAAGAGAAGAACAAAGAAACAATCAAAAACAAAAATGCACATGGATGAAAATATGATCCAATATTATAGTTATAATTTACACAAAACTGATTCTTGTCGAAATTTTATTATTATGATACTAGTTGAATAGGAATGAAATAGCACAGACGAATAGAGCTTCGTTTTCTCTATCATCTCATAAAAAAAGAAAATTTTCTCAAGCCTTCGATAAGAAAATAAGGTACCTTCGCCACTACTTTTGGGTATTCCTAAGCAATTCCAGATTTTCTCAGAGCTTTGAATGTTATAAGAGAATTTTGTTTCGAATAATAAATGCATTTGTTCTCGTTGACGTAAAATAATGTTTCAGAAAGATTCGAATTTGTCATGAAACTGTAGATCTCAGCATATACTCTTACCTGTTATCGGTGGACAGATTCTTTGATCAATCATCGACACCGGATAACAAACGGGAAGATTATGACATCGAGGATGACGAACACAGATATGATTATGCTCATGACAAACGTTGTTAGGACGGTCACACGGAACTAACTGAGAGCAAGTCATCCAGAGAAAGCCACAAATGCCAATGTCATTGGCACCTATCATATGGAAACAGCCACACGCACTATTCGTCGAACATCCATCATATTGAGACATTCCATGGCATATTTGAGACTTCACTTGGACTATCGACAAAATAAAATAATAGCTAGACATGTAGAAAAGAAGAGCGGGAATCAAACCTGTGACGCTAAAATGAAAGATAGTTGAATGTTAGAAGAATGAAATGAGAAATTCAATGTTATTTACCAGAGAAGAACGAAAACGAAATAACAAATCATAGCCCTAATCATAACTTGCATTGAAATGAGACAGTATCAGGATGGTATCCGTGATATTTATTCTTAGCTCACAGGTGATATTTTAAGTTGCATTGCTCGTGAGTCAGAGAAGGAGCTGTCTAATGATTTAATAAATGGAAACTCAGTATCACTCCTACTGTTTCTAACGTACTGATCCTATTTTGCGAAAAGTATTGTGTTCTAGAATAAGAAAGAGACAGACAACATGTGATGAGTGTGGGTGTGGGGTGTGGGTTTGGAAAACAATATCACACCCTACACCTACATCCTACTCCCACATCCACACTCACACCCACACCCACACCCGTTTTCCTCGAAAGCCGGCTGACGCAAGCTTCTCTATGAATATTGGTTGGAAAGTAAAAAAAAAAAGGTGTGGGCGAATCGACAACAACTCTTGCCACGGGGAAGGAGCTGCTTGGTTCGCCAAAAAATACTGGGAGAGGAAGAAAAAAAAATTTCTCTTCCTACCAAAAAGAAAGCAAGTCACTTTTGTTTTTTCTTTTGAAGAAAGTTGTACTCTTGCGTGCTGTAAATACATACAGGTGAGTGTTCGAAATAGCAGAAAACGTGGTTTTTTTTTCATTTTGTAAACTTTTGTTACTTTTTAATATCTTTTCACTCAAGTTCATAAGTCTAAAAAAATTCAAAAGTATGAAGAATATCCATCCCTCACATCTTAAATTTCTTTCCACCATCTTATCTTAGTAGTACATGGAATTTTGCAGCGCACTACTTTATGACACAAATTGGAATTTTCCAACTTGCTCATACAGAAACATACATATAGACATATCCGATTTCGTCTTATGTGATCACGTCGAAATCCAAACAGTTGTTAAACTCCTTTACGGTGTGGGCGTGGATGTGTGGGTGAATAGAAGACGACATTCAGGCTCACACGCACGCCCACACCATCTTCCCGAAACAGATTTGAAGGCTAGGGTAGACGAGAAAGTTAGGGATATGTTGATAACCTTCTCTCGTATGCTATTATAATCGATTATTTTCAATATTCGACTTTGTCTTTGGACATTTTTGACGCACAATATCAACATTTCAGACTAGGTCTATCATTCTTCATTCATATCACTTTGCCTGTCTGTAATATTTCTTATTGTTGTACTGATCTTTAGTTATACGTAAATCTCAAACGATAAACTGAACGAATGGCTGATCCAATTCAAAAACTTAAAAATGATATAGCTTTAAATAATGTAGTGATATTTATTGGGAGTGGTGTATCTATTTATACAGCAAACGATGAACAAAAAGTATCTGATTGGAAAGGATTATTAAAACATGGATTACAACAATGTTACCATTCAGGATGGATGAGTGATGAAGAATTTGAGGATTTCCATACTAAGTTCAACAGTAGTACAGCAGAAGTTGACGACTATTTACTTGCTGCCGATCAAATTAAGGCTTATTTCCAAATGGAAAATGATAAAATAAATAATGATCTTTACAAAACATGGCTAAGAGAAACAGTAGGAAATTTATCAGCTAAAAGACTGGACCTTGTTAAATCTATAGGAGAATTAGGATGCTTGATTTTAACAACTAACTATGACTCATTGCTTGAAGATGTACTTGGCAAAAAGTCATTACGTTGGAATGAATATTATTCTAATGGTATTGATGATTCCTTAGAGAATCTCAAAGATTATATTCTACATGTATATGGACATTTTGAAGATATAGATAGTATAATTTTCAGTAGCCATGATTATTATCGACTTTTTGAAAATGGATCTAGACAATCAAAATTAAGAGAAATTATGGAAACAAAAACTTTGTTATTCATTGGATATGATGTCGGAATATTTGATCTAAATTTTTACAGTTTATTAAAATGGATATCTTTTGTAACAGATGACAAACCATCATCTATGTATAAACTTGTTAAATCCAATAAATATAATATGTTTCATCAAATATCAGATACTTCCTTTTTGGAGAATATTAAGGAAGTTCCATATGGCAATAATGCGGAAGATTTATTAGAATTTCTAAAAAATCTCAAATCGTTTACACCATTAATACGTGAAAATTTATTATTAACAGAGAAAAAAGAATTTGTTCGTAAAAAATATTTGAATTATCTTATCAACGAATATGCACATGTATCAATTATTGGATATTCTAATACTAACATGAGTTTACCTTTGGAAAGTGTCTATGTAGAATTAAAATTTGATCCAACACATCCATCAATTAGAGCAATGAAAATGCTCGAAATCACTGAAGAGTTTAAACGTAAACTTTTCTCTCCTGGCTTTTTTAATGAGCATGAAAGGCAACAATTGAACAGAGCTATCATAGAAAAAAATGCTTTCAATTCTGAAATGTACTGTAGAGACTTCATGATTGATCAATGGTTAAATGTCTTGTTAAGCAACAAAAATATATTTACTGATAATGAGGCGAATGCTATCAAAACAAAAGTAAATCGATTAAAACAAAATATTCTGGAACAAAATAATTTTAAAGAAGCAAGGCAATATCAAATTCAACAAGCATACAATGATTTGAAACATTTCATAGTCTTAGGTCATCCTGGTTCAGGTAAAACTACATTGTCGAAATGGTTGGTCATCAATATGGCTAAGCAATGTTTAGGTAAAAAGAATATGTTATTTGATCATATTTATTCTAGGAAAGAGAAAATACCAATTCTTATTCCAATATGGAAATATGTTGATCAAATAAAAGAAAATCATAATGAAAACAAATCTACTTTGCTTCAGTTTATTTATGAAAATCCTACTTTTGACTCAACATTTTTCAATAATGAAGAACGAATAGAATTATCATTTTTAATGAAAGAATCATTAGTAGAAGGAAACGTTTTAGTTATATTCGAAGGCTTAGATGAAGTTCCTATTCATGTAGATCGATCTGATTTAATAAAGGAAATAAACACATTATTAGAACGAGGAATAGATTATGATGTAATACATAATAAACTTATTTATTCAATTTATGAACAAAAAGAAATACATAATACTAGAGATCCTACAATTGGAAATCGATTTATCATAACAAGTCGTATTGAAGGAAATTATTTTGAAGATATCAATTTTTTTTATTCCAAGATTAACTATTGAAGATATGTCTAATGATGCTCTCAAATTATTTTGTAGTTCATATATGAAATGTATTAACGAAATTTCAATTAAAGCTGGAAGAATTATGAAACAAAATGATACCGATCAATTATATAATGATATAACGGAAAACAAAGATATTTTTTCATTTGGCAATTAATCCACAATTAGCCAGTGTAATTGCTGCAGTTTATAATCAATGCGAAGGTCAATTACCAGAGAAAAGAATTGATTTATATGAAAAAGCCATCGAAAAAATGATAGAACGATTAATAACGCTTTATATCGATTCTTCAACAAATTACCTAGGCAAAGAGTTTGGACTCAATGCCACTATGATTTGGTCAATATTACAAGAAATAGCTGAATATCTTCATAGTAAAGTTGAAGGATTATCAGAAAAGATGTTAAAAGAGATAATAAGAAAATGTTTATTAGATTATCAAAAACAATCATCGAAAAGTCTAGAAACAAAGATTGACAAATTAATCTCAAACCTTGTAGATATTTTTAAATATCAAGCAGGTATACTCAATGAATTTGGTCATAATAGTTTTCGATTTATACATCGTACGTTTCAAGAATATCTTGCAGCTAAAAGTATTATCATTCATAATGGAATCGAACAATCTGAAGATATGATTTATCACAATATTCATAGTAAAATTGGTATTCCCAATTGGAGAGTTCCTCTTAGTATGACATTTGGAATTTTGAGTAAATCAATTGAATATAGTCTATTATTTAACAATATTATTAAAAGATTATTAAAAGATGAGAAAACTTCATCGAATATGCAATCTTCTATACTTCTAGTACCATTTGTTATTATTGATTCATTAAATGACATGCATTTTTCATCTAAAGATACAGAACATGAATTGATTCGGAAATTAGCAGATATGTTGTTGTTTGATTATGAAAATGTGTCTGGTTTTTCACGCTTAAAAGAACATCAAGAATTGATACAATCCTATTTCTTGAAATTGAAAAGAAAATATGATAATATAATGGCAGAATGGTTTATTAAAAAGCTTAATCATGAAGATGATGTTGCTCCATGTGCTAATATTATTTATCAATTGAAATGGTATAATCCAAAATTTCATGAAATATTTCTAAAGAATTTACATAATGATTCTATAATTTGGAATTGGCCAATCGATTCGATCTTACGATTTTATTCAAATGAAATTAAAGATGAAGTAGTTTTAACTCAATTAAAATTCAAAAATACAATAAATAAAAATCCAGAAATGATCAAATTTATTGTAAACAGCAATGCTTGGCTACCTTTAATTATAGCTCTTTATGGAGGTTATAAGAATTATAAGACTCCATCGAGTATTTCTGAATATTATGAAATAGCTCAATTTCTAGATTTAAGCTCTATGGAAAGAGCACCATTTACTTTTTACTATCAAGAAATTTGGGATAGGGATGATGCAGCTTATAGCATGGCTGTATATCTTGATACAAAAGTAAAGAAAGAACGGTGGACTGAAAAGCCAATATTTGATAAAAATGACATCTACAAGGAGTCATTTTTGACAAATAAAATCCTCGAACTGCTTCATGAAGGAAAATCTACGATAGAATTAATAGAAGACTTGCATAAACAAATCAACAGTCAAAAATTAAGCAAAAGTGAAAAAGTAGAAATATTCATCGCATTAATCGCTTTGGGTGACTTCGACTTCATAAATGTTCTTATAGCAGAAGAAGAAGAAACATTCATAAAAAACTTCAGAAACAGAATCGAACAACTTATTGATATTTTGAAAGATCCAATTGCAAGATGGTCTTCTCATATTTCCAAATATTTACTTGAAATTTATAATGGTATGAAAGCGAATCAATTACTACATGACATTAACTTTTTACATTATTGCAGAATATATTTATCCATACTAGCCAATAGCGGAGCTTTGCCAATAGACACTAGGATATTAGCAGAAGCTGTAGATAATATTGAAGATAAATATAGTTTATATGCAGAATATTTTGCCTTTCAGATCGCTGGTATGGCTAATAATTTCCAATATCAAGTCGCTGTATTATGTGACCAGTGCATTTCGTCAAGTGAACCTGATCAGATTATAAAATCATTTTTAAAAATCAGTGATACAATTCAGATTTATAGGCCAGTTCGAGGGTATCCATGGGTCACAGACATATTTACTTTTAAATTAAACAATGATGATGATGCTGATGTTGATATACCAATAGCATTGTTCAACTGTTTAGAGAATATCAATACAAATATAGCATACTTAGTGGATACCGTTTCTGAAACTTTTCGTAAAAAAGAATATTTCAAGAAAAATTCAGAATTGATTCCATTGGTTGTATTGTTACATTTTGGAATTATTTCAAAAGACAGTGATAGGTTAAGGATTTACAAAAATTTACTACCTGAATTAGCTGAACAGTATGATGTAAAAGAATTTTTATTTGAAAGAATTCAATCCATGTGTAATCCATATTATAAATCAAGAGCATTATATCAATTAGCTGAATTTTATGATGAAAAAAGTTATGAATTGCTAAATGAATCATTTATATTAACAAAAAATATTCAAGAGCCAACGTTAAAATTTCAAGTATTAGAAAAAATTTTTAGCATTACTCATTATAAGGAAGTAGATCGCAAGCTATTCATTCAAAAAATTGTCGACGAGTTAATTTTAACATTTGACAATATTGATGATCTTCATAATCGAATTATTGCATCGATAAGATTATCATTTTATGGATCAGGAGAATTTCGAAAAAAATATTTAACTATTGCTATAGAAACACTTGATCGAATGAATGAAGATAATGACAAAATCAAATTAATTATTAAATTAAAATCATTAATTAATATCTATGATGATCTTCTAATCAAACTAAATGGAATGATAGAAACACTCAAGAATAAAATTTATTATTATTTTGTCAATTCTTATTATGGAAGAATATTATTTACTGGAACATTACAAGTTTCTAAGTCAAACGTAAATTTAGAAAATGAGAATGATAACAAAGAAATTGTCGATCTTTCAAACTATGCAGAACTTCAATCTTTATTTGTATTGGTTGCACAATTGAATGATACAAAATTAATTATGGATAAAACAGAGAGCACCGATCAATTATGGATTCATCTTTTTAAAGATACTGATAATCAGTCCACTATAGAAAAAATATTAACTATTGGTTTACATGATGGAATATTTTTGACACCACAAGTAACCATTATTATAGATGAATTGATAGAAAAAGGAAAAGAGGATCATATATCTATGCTTTTTCCCTATATTATAAAACCTTCAAATGAAGTATTACCTGTTGTTCAGCGATGGTTTACTCAAAACAATAATAATAATAATCAAATTAAAAATCTAGCAGCTCTTTTACTTGCAGAAGCCAGGCATGTTTTTGAATCAGTTATCGATACAATTATTGATTTGCTCAAAAGTGATAATGATCAAATGAGATATCGAGCTCAACGAATTTTTCAACATCCAGAAAGAGATGTTAAAGAACCCAGCAAGAGACTCTCTGTATTAGGAGAAAAAACAATGATGAAAATTCTCGAACATGCTCTAGTGAAAGAGCATCTTCCAAGAGTTCGTGCTTATTTTTTTACATTTTTCTACGACTTACTATGGGATGATCCTGTAGTTTTTCATAACTTAAGTCAAAATATGAATCAATTACAAGAGAGAAACTCTGTTAGTGAAAGAAGAATTCAATTTCTCGATAGAATTTATTTTATTAATAATCATACTTGGAATTCAATAATGCAAACTTTAGAATCATCTTTATATCCATTGTATATAGAAAAATTACTTCATTCTACGATGCATTTAGCAAGACGTTCTCAGATTATAGAAGATGATTGGATTAAATTTGCAAGATTATTAGCAGTGTCTGACACATGTCAATTTCAAGAGCATGTATACTTTTCACATACAGATATGGAACTAATACAAGTAATTCTTGATGAAGTTTCTGCTTCAACAACTATTACTGATGAAACATATTTTGAAAATCTTGAATCAATCTTAATCATTCAAACAACCATCAAAGTTGAAGATCTTTCACGACAGAACTACGATCAAATCCAACATATAGGTCGTTGTAATTTTACTGTTTCAAATGATGTAAACAAAACAATATTAAATTTATTAAGTAATTTTTCGATAAATATTGTTCTAATGAAGAATTTAATTCAATGGTTAATACTCAAAATGATAAGTTTTAATGGTTTTGATGATACTATATTTGAATTGATTCTATGTGAAACTTTATTATCTTTGGTTTCTGCTTGTGTTCAAAAGGAAGATTATTTGTATCGAAAAATAACAAATTCTCCAAATTTTAATAAAGTTCAAATGATTCAACTGTTGGAGAAAATGCTTAATTATCATCCCTATTTTCCAGCAAGAGGTACTGCTTTTATATTACTTTCAGCTATGGAACAGTTTGATCATAAAGTAATTATCAATGCTATGAACACATTATTTGATGAAAATCTTGTGAAAGAATATTCCGTGATTGGAGTTCCTCTCATTCGTTTATCATCTGATGAATTGATTGATGATTTAATAGTATATTTGAAAAGTGAAAGTGCCATAAAAGTTTATGAAATATTAAAAATTTTAACAGAATTTGCTTTAAATGAAAAAATAGATATGAACAGCAAATCAAAAATTATGAATTACTTAACAAATGAAATTGTACAATTAAAATCAAAGAAACTTGTTAATTATTACTATACAGACATTAAAATTCCTTTCACAACAACATTAGAACATGAATATTATAAAGCATGGATTAAAATACAAGGACTCTCGGGTAAAGCACAATATTCAATCAACATTAAAGAATCAAACAAATAACAAAATTCAATTTTAGTACTATTTCTTTTTTTGTTTTAAATAAATTGCTTTCTCACTGCAAAAACATTTCGTAAATTTCATGAATTTAATAGTTAACGTTTATTTAAATATCAATTAATCATGAAAATTCGATTCCAAATCTGTAATAACAACAGTAGCAGTTTATTATCGTAGACCGCTGATTTCTCCGCCATTACATTTCAGAGAAAGACCATTGTTACACCATTTGAAGGAGGAGACTCTGAAGATTATGCATATATAAAAATATTTTCAGTCGAGTCAAAAATAGTTGTGAAATGGATCAAACAAGACAAGTTACTCTTTTGGTGTTGTTATTAGGGAAAGTTACTCTATTTATAGGAATGCTGCGAAATTTCTTGAGTGTAGTTACACAGTGATTGACACATCAACAGAAGAAATAAATTTTTTTTTTCGAAGAATTTTTGTCTGACGTCATGTTTTGAGACAGGAAAGCGTAATTACTGTGTACTGCGAAACTTCTTGTGTGTATGCACACAGCACGTAATGCATCTACAGAAGAAGGAAATGTGTTTGTTTTTCGGAGAATTTTTATATAACGCCATGTTCTGAGACAGTAAAGCATAGATGTTGTTGCTGTTTCGGCGAAACTTCTTGTGTGTAGGTGCACAGTAATTGGTGCATCACTTCTTTCTTGTGGGCGTGCGGATGTGGGGTGTGGGTGGGTTTGGATGTTTAATTCTTCCGCAGAAGATTTCACATCCACATCCACACTCACACTAACATGCACATGCACATCTACATCCACCCATACCCACACCCTCTTCATGGACATCTTTTCTCCGAAAAACATTCGCAATTAAAATAAAATGATGCAATCAGTCGTTTTTCGTTTTGCGCACCACACTGTTGGCCTTCAAGATTTGTTTACATGCACCATCGGAAGTAGTGAATTGCTCGTGTCGTTAGTCTACATTTCTCTTTTATGAATAGAAAAATATTTGTGTAGGATGAAAAAATACCCACTAGCAGAGATCAATGTTGTATAAAAGGTCTAAAACGCAGCATCAAGTTGTCACAGTTTGCCTGTTCCATCTTGAAGCAGTCAACTGAGCTGAGCGAAGTAAGACTTTCATTGTAGGAATATTATGCTTTTTTTGATCTTACTTAGTTTTAGAGTACAGCTTATCTTCTTCTTTGCTTCATTTGAAATTCTATCCCAGTTGCTCCAGGACGGGCTTTACGACGGTCCGATCTGGGCGTAAACTGCTGTATACGATATGCTATACTATCTTTCACGCCGTTTAAGGTCGTAAATTGTCATAAGTTGACATTTTAACATGCGTCATATTATGACCGTATGTCGATGTACCGTAAACATCTAGTCACGGTTGTCATACGATCGGAAGATTCAGTATCCGATTGTTTCTCAATATGCCATAATATGGTGCATCGTAAACGGCGAAAAAATCAACGGAAACGGTCGTTTTACGATCCAACTTATTTCACCTAAGTCGCTTGATTGATTTTGATAATAGCATGAGAGAAAAGTTGCCTAGCATCTATTCATTTCTCGGTGTATCTCTGAGTACATGCATATGGTTAACAGATAACAATTACATACAATGAGTTATACAGATTATCTTCTAGCTGTTTTTTCAAATACATTTCATATTTTCAGCGTATTTAAGCCCTCTGTTATCATTTTTCAATGAGAATTCTAATGTATGGTAATAATTGGTTAACTTGCTCTGCCGTATGCAGCGAAAGACAATAATGAAGCATCAGATGATTGTATTGTGACATTCTTTTCTCAGATAAAAACTACGAAGGATAAAGATATCATTATCCTAAATATCGCTTCGCTTCTCTGTCTAACGAGCACAAAGGAACACTTCAAACATAACAGACCGATATATAACCGAAAATGCGTTATGTTTTGGTGTTAGCCAAAGACTAACAGTTATTTCAATGAATTTCCTAGGGACCATAAGAGATTCCGAAACTTCGCCAATTATTGGCGAAAACCCAGAGGTGTATTGGCTAAAGTTCAGTAGACTTTCGTCAATTGGCGAATATTCAGGGAGAAGAATTGGGGACTGGTGTGGGCGAGTCTGAATCTGAATGTTTACCTCTCTCACAGAAGGTTTCACATCCACACCCACACCCTCAGCCCCAC